GCTGCACTGCAATCAGCACCAGGACAATTGGGTGGAACTCCTCCACTTTGCGGAACTCACCTACAATAACTGTCATACTGACATTCGTTGCACTCAGTTTGCTATCAAACTCAAGAGCAAACTTAGAAATCTCCTCCTCAAACCTACAAGTCACCATACATATCTTGGCTTATCACACCAACAACAGAAGCAATACTACTCAACGATTGCTGCAAACTCTTCTACTACATCTGTTTATGCTACATACATCACGGCATATCATTTGAACACTCATTGAACAAGTTATTAAGAAAATCTCCTCCTTAAGGGGGTGGGCCAATACTACCACATGGCATATATCTACCAACTAGAGGCCTAGGAACATGAACGATAGCTCTAGAAGCTTCTACAACCCTCTATGATTCATTACACGTCATCGCTCCTTAGTTACCCACAAGATTGGTTAAGTTATGACATAATTTATCTATAGGTACTCTGACCTTGGACCTCCTTTTCACTTCCTATAGGCTAGGAACCCAAGAGATGGTTCTATGGGATTCTCTTACGTTCACTACATGATTAGCAAGCTAGTTGTGGGTCGCACTTGATTTCTAATACATTTACCAAGCCTGGTTAGTCATGGAAAGTCATGGAAAATGAGAGAACTACACTCCTTTGGCATAAATAGGATTGCCCTTTCCTTAAGAAAGGGCAAGCAGACAATACAGTAAATCGACTAGCACATACTTCTACGTCTTTTCCAAGCTTCCAAGCATTGATCTTGTTATTCTCTGTTTTTTGAAAAGTCAGTGAGGTGCTAACCTCTGACTTACCCCTGAGTTCTCAGACTCAACATTTGTTGCAACTTGTCTAAACCACTTCACCACATCATACACCTGATTGCTGCGTTGTGGAATAGTCTAAGCTACAACCCTTTGGCTCTGTTTCCTAAGACAGTGTGTTGTCTTAGTAAATTCATCCCTTCCTTGGGTGGCTAGATTCTCATATCTGGTGCACCCACCATTACAATAACGCGTTCCATGAATCCATCAAAATGTCGCCCAACCAGGCCAGGTATGGCATCAATATTGACCTGCATCAAGGGGTCGAGGACGACCCCATGCAAAGGGAAGTGCCAGTCGCAAAGGACCGAGTAAACATGATCCTTGAGCTGCGCCAAAACCTGGAGGAGGCATGGAAACAGACGAAGGAAGCCCAAGTAAGGGGCTACAACAAGCTGCACAAACCAATGCAGTACGTAGTAGGAGAGAAGGTGTGGCTCTCGGCCAAGAATATCCGAACCACCCAGCCGAGCAAGAAGCTAGGGCACTGCTGGCTCGGACTATATAAAATCACCCAGCGGGTTGGAAAGCAGGTGTACATGTTGGAGCTACCTCCTAGGTACAAGGCAATCCACGATGTATTCCACGTGTCCCTGTTGGAAAGACATTGGGTAAACACAGACAAGCCTGACCCTCCGCCTAGTCCAGAGATTGTAGATGGCAAGAAAGAATACCAAGTAGAAGCGGTCCTAGACCACAGGGTAATCAAACGAGGAAGGGGCCAAAGGGAAGAATACCTGGTCCGGTGGAAAGGGTATACTGAGGCAGATGATCAATGGGTGCCAAAACATGACGTAGGGCTACCATTAATCGAGGCATATCACAGGAAGCATACACAAGGAAGCAAGGATGGGACAATGTAATGGTATTGACCCTACAAACTGTGGGAATGATCAATCAGAACACTAGTCTCAGATGAGGGCGATGACAAGGACTCAGACTCAGACGAGGACGACGAAGAAACAGGGATCACACCCTCATCCCTAGACGACAAGGACTGGACTGAAGGAGGCCCTGTGTAATGGTGGGTGCACCAGATGTGAGAATCTAGCCACCCAAGGAAGGGATGATTTTACTAAGACAACACACTGTCTTAGGAAAAAGAGCCAAAGGGTCGTAGCTTAGACTATTCCACAATGCAGCAATCAGGTGTATGATGTAGTGGAGTGGTTTAGACAAGTTGTAACAAATGTTGAGTCTGAGAACTCAGGGATAAGTCAGAGGTTAGCACCTCACTGACTTTTCAGAAACAAGGAGTAACAAGATCAATGCTTGGAAGCTTGGAAAAGATGTAGAAGTATGTGATAGTCGATTTACTGTATTGTCTGCTTGCCCTTTCTTAAGGAAAGGGCAATCCTATTTATGCTAAAGGAGTGTAGTTCTCTCATTTTCCAAGACTTTCCATGACTAACCAGGCTTGGTAACTTATAAATCAAGTGCGACCCACAACCAGCTTGCTAATCATGTAGTAAATATAAGAGAATCCCATAGAACCATCTTCTAGGTTCCTAGCCTATAGGAAGTGAAAGGAGGTCCAAGGTCAGAGTACCCCTATAGACAAATTATGTCATAACTTAACCAATCTTGTGGGTAACTAAGGAGTGATGACGTGTAATGAATCATAGAGGGTTGTAGCAATCGTTGAGTAGTATTGCTCTTGTTGTTGGTGTGATAAGCCAAAATATGTATAGTGACTTGTAGGTTTGAGGAGGAGATTTCTAAGTTTGCTCTTGAGTTTGATAGCAAACTGAGTGCAACGAATGTCAGTATGACAGTGGGTCAATACTACCACATGGTATATCTCTACCAACTAGAGGCCTAGGAACATGAACGATAGCTCTAGAAGCTTCTATAACCCTCTATGATTCATTACACATCATTACTCCTTAGTTACCCACAAGATTGGTTAAGTTATGACATAATTTGTCTATAGGGGTACTCTGACCTTGGACCTCCTTTCACTTCCTATAGGCTAGGAACCTAGAAGATGGTTCTATGGGATTCTCTTATATTTACTACATTATTAGCAAGCTGGTTGTGGGTCGCACTTGATTTCTAAGTTACCAAGCCTGGTTAGTCATGGAAAGTCTTGGAAAATGAGAGAACTACACCCCTTTAGCATAAATAGGATTGCCCTTTCCTTAAGAAAGGGCAAGCAGACAATACAGTAAATCGACTATCACATACTTCTACATCTTTTCCAAGCTTCCAAGCATTGATCTTGTTAACTCCTTGTTTCTGAAAAGTCAGTGAGGTGCTAACCTCTGACTTATCCCTGAGTTCTCAGACTCAACATTTGTTACAACTTGTCTAAACCACTCCACTACATCATACACCTGATTGCTGCGTTGTGGAATAGTCTAAGCTACGATCCTTTGGCTCTTTTTCCTAAGACAGTGTGTTGTCTTAGTAAAATCATCCCTTCCTTGGGTGGCTAAATTCTCACATCTGGTGCACCTACCATTACATCTTCTCACCTAACACAGCTGCTTGATGTTAGGTGCTTTAGTCCCTTAAAGCAGGCATATAGCCGGGAGGTCAAGCACTTTATCAAATCGCATGTCAATCACATTACTAAGGTTGAATTCTTCCATGCATTCAAAGCTGCGCACGCTACTGCTATAACAGAAAGCAATATCAAAGGAGGTTTCTAGGGAGCTGGTTTAGTCTCTTTTAACCTAGAGGCTGTTATTTCTAAGCTAGATGTCAAACTATGGACTCTAACATCTACTAGACCACCTAATGCAATCAATGATGCCTGGGTTTCTCAAACGCCTAATAACCTAATAGAAGCTGTCTCTTAAACTAAGTTTGTTAGAAATCAGATTGCTAGCTATCAAGGGGGCTTACCAACTCCAATTTTCAATGCTGTTACTTAGTTAGCAAATGGGGTAGCAACAATTGCCCACTTAGTCACTCTCTTAGCAGCTGAGAACCGCTCACTTCAAAAAGCAAATCAAGCACTAAGCAAGTGTAGGAGGGCTAGAAAAGCACATGTATGCCTCAGAGGATCACTAACTGTAGGAGATGCACAAGATCTACTCGTTTAAAGGGATGTACAAGAGCAGATAGAGTAAGAAAGTCACGAAAGTAGTAGTAGGTAACAGGGAGGTCAGCCTAGTTAACGGCTATGTAGGAACTTCAAAAAGCCTAGTCATAATGCAAGAACATGTCAGAAGGATAAAGAGATGTCTAATATGTATAATTAAGATTAGTTTCAATTGATTATAGTCGTTGTTGTGGTCTGCGGATTTTAAAATACAGTGTGACTTAAGAAAAGTGCGCTACTAGGTGATATGCACCACTTAGTAATGAAGCACGTTAATCATAATCATGAATATTCATGATTATGACTAGCCATGCTTATGTAATATTTCACTATTCGAATACAGTCCACTCTTGCTAATATGATGTTGGATTAGTTGATAACACTGCTAAGTCGATATTTTTTTCAGCACTAATTGATTTTCACACTCAATTCTTGATATTCGCGATATTGACCTTCTAACCTTTAATTATCCGACTTATCCAACTCTACTATGCCTCAAAAACACACGATTACACTTAAACAGTGCTGTGCCCTTTGATGTTAGGCACACAAACAGCACCTAAAACCCTCCTAGAAAGCCTACATCAACTGGTTTCTTCACAAATTCAATCATAGGCTCAGTAAATTGACAATATCAGATAGCCTTAGCGACCGCTTTAAACATCTCGACAACTCGACAACAACTAGACAACAAAATCGAACTAGCTAATGGCCTCAATTTGAACAAATTCTCTACGACTTTTAGCAAGAAATTGATAGCCGCGGTGGCTTTACATCTAGTGATATACTTTAAGAAAAGGCAAGGGAGATCTAGAGAAGGCTTCTATAGTATGTAGATCAGCTAGTTCCTGACTTTAGCTCTAGCTAGCTTACATGACTTAAATCACGACATAATATTAAGATACATACATGTCATGGCAAAGCAGGTTCTATCCTAGAGTTAGTTGAAGAAGAGATGAAAGGGCTCTGGACAATTGCTAGGGAGTTTGAGGAGGAGAATATCTATAATATGGACGAAACTAGGATTAAAGAAGGAAAAAGCTCAAATTACACTTACTCTTTGTACAAATGCTTCCGGATCTAACTAGCTTCTAAATCTGGATTATTAGCAAAGCAAAAACACCTCGATATTTACGCAATATTAATATATATTCTAATATTTGTCTATTCAACATAAAATCACACCCAAGCTGCCGTCCCAAACAAGCCGGGGGGCCGATGCCCTGGCCTTCTATCTCGCACCTCCCACGCCCTCCCTAAGCCACCAAAGGGCCCCTGCAACAAGATGCAAGCTCCCTGTAACCAATACATCCACACCCTCCCCAGCCTCTCCGGCCCCCTTCGCCAACTTCATCGCCTCGCCCAACTGCGGCTCAAATCGTACTTCCGCATTGGGATGCAACTCCTTCCATACCCGCTCATATACATCCAGGGATGGAAGCGTTGTCGTAGCCACTTGTTGGTCTGTCATGCGGTTAGCTTGCGTCTCTCGGAAGAGAGAAAGAGAGAGGGTACCTAAAGACATAGAGACCGAGAAAGTCTGATCCGGATCATAGGTCGTGAAGATGACGAGCTGCACACCACTACCCTTCAACGACTCCGCCAGACACCTAAAGACGGCTTCAGTGTCCCTACTATCCGAGATCTGGCTAAACACCAAGACGCGCGCTCTCCCCCTCTCCTCCAGCCCATCCACAAACCACCGCCCCGCAACCCCAATACTCATTTCATTATGCGCCCCATCACACCACCACCTCTCCCTCCCCCCACCCCTCTCAACAACCTGAAACCGCCCCGGCCACTTAAACCCCTCAACCCCCCTCCTCACACTCCCCTCACTCAGCACCTTCCCCCTCATCCTCTCCAAAAACGCCCTCACCGCCACTACAGCAACCGCGCAATTGCCCCTCTGCACATCGGGCTTCACACTCTGCACCCCCCGCTCCTCCGTCCCCGTTACGATCTTCACTTCTCCCCCAACCACACCCCTCTCCCCTGCCCTCGCCCGTAACACCTCCTCCAACCCTTCCTCCTGCGCAGCCGCGATAGCAACCGCGCCGGCTTTCAATATTCCTGCTTTATGCCACGCAATATCCTTCATCCCCGGCCCAAGTTGCTTCACATGATCGCGCCCCAGCGGCGTGACAACCGTCACCACTGGCTTCTCCACGAAATTCGTCGCGTCGTACTCGCCGCCATGATGCGTCTCCAGCACTACCGCACCGACGCCCTCTTTGATAAACGCGTGCAGAGCAACTAGCACACATAGCTGGAGGTACCGCGGCCTTTCCCTTTTCTGGCTTTCCGTAGCCGCGTTCCCATCGAAGAGACGCTCCCAAACTTCGAAGAAGTACTTCGCGAATCCGCGCTCATCGATTGCCGTGCCGCTGATCCGGACACGCTCTTGTGGCACAAGGAGGTGGGGAGAGGTGTACATCCCCACACTCCGTGGCCACCCGGTCGCAGCTCCGTGAGCGAGGAGGAGCGCCTCGATGTATGCGCATGTGCTTCCTTTCCCCTTGGTGCCGGCGACGTGGATGATGTTTAGGGCTGCTACATCTGCGGGCTGGTTTCTCAGTCAGTTAAGGAGGGGGGCAAACAGGAGAGAAAGACGAACAGAATGTCCCAACTCCTCCATCCAGCCGCTCATCCCCACTATCCCAGGCTTGCCCCTCAACACCTCCCCGCCAACTCTGAACTCTGGCTTTAGCCCCGCATCGCGCGCTGCCTCCGTCTTCAGCGCACCGCTTGGCCTGCGCACACGCCGGCGGGTATCCAGAAGGGCTATCGCGTCCTGGGGTTATGTTAGATTGTGTGTGCCATACCAAGCACCGTTGGGAGGTGATAGTAAGTAAGGAAGTAGAAAACATACCTCATAACCCCCCCCCATAACTCGTCGCCCAATCCTCCTCCGCCCTCCCGCAACGGCGGTGCTCAAGAACCCGTGCACCGCGAACCTCGATATCCCCTCGCCAAATCCCGTGCCCAAAAACAAAGGCAGTGGGAAGCAGCAGCAAACAAACGTTCTGCACCTATCTTAACGCATTAGTGAATGCATGTGTATTATATCATCCCCATCGTGTGATTTGTCCTGTCCTGTACAGTTTGAGGTACGATATTAGAGTGAGTGGGAGTAATTACCGCAGTTGTGGTTCGGGGTCCAGAGGGACGCGATACTGCCGTCTGTATGGGGAAGGCGGTCGAATGCTTATGGCTTTATTTTGCGTGAGAGTTAGTCGCGGGCCGTGTTGTTCCGGTTTAGCGTAACGCGGTGGAATTTTGAAGAGAACGCAACAAATCTGTAAATTTAACTACTATCAACAATACATGATCCACCGTCGCTCTCAGATTGTGCCGCAGAATGCCTGGCCTTGCGTCTGCGTGGTCTCGTCACCAACAAGCTCATTGTTGACGTCCAGGTTCGCGGCTCCATACACGGCGAGACCGAACTCGAAGTCGCCGTCCTTCTCGGCCTCGTAGGTACCGGTAAATGTACCATACCAGAGCGCCTGCTTGGGCTTGTAGTAATCGATGAAGAACTCGTTGGAGCGCAGGATGGTCAGCTCGTCGATTGGCTTGCGGTCCGCGACGGAGGAGGGCTCGTTGTACGCACGGAATGTCACGGAATGTCACGCCTGGCTTTCCTTCTTCCGAGGTGAGCTGGGCGCCGAGGAGGGGGCGCTCGCGGTGGGAGTAGCAGCCGACCGTGTATTTGACCTCGGTGCCTTCTTCGAGGAGCGCGGTGATGCCGTCGCAGGGGGTGAGCGTAGTATGAGAGGAGGGAGGCGGAACCACCACCGCAGTAGGTTGCGATTTTAGCGTTGAGGCCAACGATGAGAGTCTAATCTAGCTGTTACAGTGATATTTGTCGCTGTACTCTTGCCTTTGGTAGTCGCTTTCTGGGTGGCCTCCTCGGCCTCAATGACTTGGGAGCGTAATTCCTCTGTAGTTATGTGGAATTGGCCCTTTAAAATTGCGCGTTTCCCTTTGCTCTGTGCTCTCCGTGTTTGTATTATCGATCGTAGGTTATCTGCCTCGCGTTGGTGTAAGAAGTTGCGTGTATTAAGTCGCTCAGTCTCATCAGCCAACCGACGGATATATCGAGTAGTGGGTGTGTTTAGGACTGTACGCGTCTCTAAGGCCGCAACCAGGACAGTGTTCGCTTTGCGCAATGTAGAACAGTCGGGTGGACTACTGTTCTGAAAGACATTGTCAAAAATATCGTACTCAGTTGGTGTTTTTGGTCGATCATCTGTCACATCTGTCTGTTGGAGCGTCACCATCCGGATCACCCGTTGAGGTTGGAAAGGTTGTAGACTAGCACCCCTCCACGCAGATGTAATATTATGAGTAGATAGCGCAATTGCTCTCGCTTTGATGTATGCAGATAACCATTCTGCTTTTTGTATGCGTGTAAGTTGCGCTTCATTCAAATGTGAGAGCGCACTTGTGAGATGTTTTTTCAATGGTCCGAAGACTGCAACATCGAGTGGTTGCAACACATGGGAAGTGTGCGGTGGGAGGACAAGGATAGATATTCGATTTTGCATACAATGGAATATAAAGCCTCCACTTATATGACTGTCGTGGCCATCGCATATGAGTAACCGTTGTTGTTGTGCTCCATTAGATGTCGCTTTCGCATGCGTTGCTGGTTCAAACATGCGTTTTAACCACTCGATGCCATGTAAGTTGCTTGTCCAACCCTTTGTATTAGCAGAGAAGTGCCATTTATCAATAACCTCAGGAGGGATCCAGTTTTGTAAGACGTTCCGACCCTTGAATATAATAAGAGGGTTAATGGTCGTTCCATCCATACAGATGCATTCAACAGCAGACACCCATTCCTGCCGGCCTTGGTGTGCCTGGTGACATGTACGGAGTGTAGAATCAACGATGATCCGAGTACACTCCATAGTGCCAATTGAAAATCCAGTTTCATCCATGTTATACACGTTGTGTTCTTGTATTCCTAGACGCGCCACAAGGTCCTTGTACGCGTCAAACCACCCCGTTAACACATCTTTTGTAACTCCACTCATTCTTTGTGCTTCGACCCGTCTGCCTAGTTGGATTTGTAAATGCGGATGTCGTTTTATAAACCGTGGGACCCAGTCTTGTCCAAGGGGAAAGTTCGGAATCTCTTCGTGATGAGTGTGTTGGGCATGTTGACTGTTAGGGTGCGACAGTTCGAAAACGCGGCATCGGTTGACACGGATTTCGTCAGCAATATCCCGCAATATACGGTGACTAGGAGCATATCCACTAATTGTTAGCACCTTAATCCACTTTAAAAGTGTCTGCTCTTGCGCTGGCGATAGCAGTTGTTGTTGTTGTCGAGCTTCTCTCCGTGACAGTTTCCCATTAACGCGTTGAAGGACTGTGTCTGGCCGAAGGTGTAAAGCCTTTGCAGCACTGTACGAAGATTTGTATAATCCGGATTTAACTCCAGCAACAGCTTGTGCCAATAAAACTTCTAGTTCTTCGGCTTTCTGACTACGCTTTCGCACCATGTTGGGGGTTTACATTGGTTTGGTGATACTCTTGATGCTCAATATTCCCCACTATCCCGTTTACGCCATTCTCCCGGTTACGCCATGACTTACGTTACCCACAAGATTGGTTAAGTTATGACATAATTTGTCTATGACATAATTTGTCTATAGGGGTACTCTGACCTTGGACCTCCTTTTACTTCCTATAGGCTACGAACCTAAGAGATGGTTCTATGGGATTCTCTTACGTCGACTACAGTTACCAAGCCTGGTTAGTCATGGAAAGTGTTGGAAAATGAGAGAACTACACTCCTTTAGCATAAATAGGATTGCCCTTTCCTTAAGAAAGGGCAAGCAGACAATACAGTAAATCGACTATCACATACTTCCACGTCTTTTCCAAGCTTCCAAGCATTGATCTTGTTACTCCTTGTTTCTGAAAAGTCAGTGAGGTGCTAACCTCTGACTTACCCCTGAGTTCCCAGACTCAACATTTGTTGCAACTTGTCTGAACCACTTCACTACATCACACACCTGATTGCTGAGTTGTGGAATAGTCTAAGCTACAACCCTTTGGCTCTGTTTCCTAAGACAGTGTGTTGTCTTAGTAAAATCATCCCTTCCTTGGGTGGCTAGATTCTCACATCTGGTGCACCCACCATTACACCTATGGGGCCTAGGTGGGGGAAGACCTTGTGTCAGAGGGGACTCGGGCCTGGCCCTTCGCGTGGGGTCACTTCGACCCTTCGTCTCTCATGGTGGTAGCCGCTTGTTGCGACGCCGGTGAGACGTTTGGGAAGGGTGGCTCCCGCAAGGGTTACGGTGGTGAGTGCGCCCTGGCTCGGAGGGTATTTTAGTTTAGAGTCGCAGACAGCAATGACTCTGTTTCTTCCGCTTTGTCTTTCCCTCCGTGATCGTAGTTTTGTTCCTTTCCTGTCTCCCCTGCCGTAACCCCTCCGAGTAGTTCTTGAGGTGGACCTGGTAAATCTGGGTATTCCGTATGAAACTCTCTGAGTTTCTGGGGAGAGTTCATGAAGTTTGACGCTGGGTACCACTCCGGGTCCGGATCGTATCCGACCCAACTAACCCTGTATTGTAGTTGCTTCCAGTGGAGCCTTACGGCGAGGATCTTTTCCACTTCCCATTCCTCTACGCCGTCTATCACTTCGCTGCTAGGCTCAGGCGGATCCTGACCAGGTAGGGGATTGTTCGGATCCTTCATGAGTACGTCTGGTGAGAACACATCGTGTATTTGCAGTTCCAATCGAAATGCGTGCCCAATCCGTTCCACCACCGTATATGGTCCGACCCATTGTTGGCCCAGCTTGCGGCTAGGACGAGAGTTTTTCAAATTTTTGGTCGATAGGTACACTCTATCTCCTACGTCCCAGTCGATGGCCCTTCGGCGTCGATTCGCGTGCTTAGACATTTCCTCTTGTGCCTTTGCCATGTTTTCCTTTGCGTGGACCCATGCGGTATGCATTCGGTCTGCCACCGCCTTGGCTTCCTCTCGGTTTAGGGTCTCCCGGGGGTTGGTGCTTTTCGGAGTGTTCCAATCCCAACTCGTACACGGATCGGTTCCGTACTTGAGTCGGTAGGGGGTCATGCCAATGGATGCGTGGGGGAGTGTCATTTGCACGCGGTCCATTATGGGGATGAGCTCGCTCCAGTTATCCTGATAATAGGATACGAAGGGCCTCAGTCTCTGATCGATGTATCGGTTCATGATTTCCGTCTGCCCGTCGGTCTGCTTATGATAGGCCGTTGACAGCTTAACCTTAACGCCGATAATTCGACAGAACTCTTGCCAAAAGGATGATACGAATTGGGGTCCGCGGTCGCTTACAATCGACTCCGGAGTGTGTCCGAATCGGTATATCCATTCGATGAACAATTGCGCCATCTGGCGGGCAGTTGTGGTTTTGTAGCAAGGTATGTCACCGAACTCTTTCCGAGTCGGTCCATAAACACTAAGATGCTATCATATCCATGCTTGTCCCTTGGGAACTCCTTGAAGTCCATGGTGAGGTGTTGCATAGGGTATTCGGGTACGGGTAGTGGGTGTAGAAATCCTTGTTGCTTAGTGACATTGGTGTGAGAAAGCTGGCATGTCACGCAGTTTCGTACATACCGCAAACAGTCCGCTTCCATCCCGACCCAATGATACTTTGGGGCGAGCAATTGGTAGGTTTTCCTGCCACTTGGATGTGCTGACGACACTTGATCGTGCGCTTCCCGGATCAGTTTCGTACATAGGTCAGTGTGGCGATTCACACATAGGCGGCCTTTGTACAGGAGGAGCTGGTCGTTCATCGCGAATCCGTCCGGTAGGGGTTGTTTCGCGCGAGTCTCGGTGAACGACTTCCGATTGTCCGCACATAGCGCCTCTATTAAATTGAAGGGCACCTGGGGCTTGGGGGTGTCCATCGAATTAATGGATGCTATGTAGCTCTCGGCGAGTTCAGTGCTGATTCGGGGGTGTAGGCGGCTTGGACCTAACAATACCCTCGCCCTACTATCAAGTTTGACTTTCTGCTGCGTTACCAGGTCTTGGTCTCTTCGGCTCAGAATATCAGCCTTCTGATTATTCCTGCCTGCGGTGTACGTGATGCAGAAATTGAAGTCGGAGAGTAGCTCCATCCACCGAACCTGTTTCGCTGTGAGAATCTTGGTAGACATGAAATATTCCAACGAACGGTGATCAGTGTAGACGTCAACTCGGTGGCGTACCGAAGCCAACTCGGGCCTCCATTTTCCAAAGGCTTTCACGATTGCGAATAGTTCCTTGTCGTGGATCTCCCAGTTGATCTCATGTCCGGATAGGACGTGACTGTAGAAGCTTACGGGGTACCATCGCTTGTCAGGGTGTTCTTGAGACAGGACACCAGCTACCACTCCATCAGAGGAGTCGGTCTCCAGCTTCGTAGGCAATTCGGGGTTGAAGTGGTGAAGTGCCTGTACCGCTAAAAGTTGTCGTCGCAATTCCTCGAACGCATCCTCACATTCGTCTGTCCACCGGAATGGCTCTGAGGGACTAGTGATGGTGGTGAGGGGCTTTGCTATTTTGCCAAAATTACGAATGAATTGTCTATAGAAGCCACAGAATCCCAGGTAGGACTTCACACCCGTAACAGTGGTCGGTCGGATCCAGTTACGAAGGGGTTCGATTTTGTCAGGGTCCGCTTCGACACCGGAGCTAGTAAGAACATAACCCAAGTATTTTGTCCTGGTGACGTTGAACTCGCATTTGTTCAAATCGGCTTGGAGTCCAGCTTCTCGGAGACGCTGTAGGACCTTATGCACATGCTCTATGTGTTCCGTAGGGTCCTCTGAATAGATTAGGATGTCGTCTAAGTATGCGGTACAGAAGTTGTCTAAGTATTGCATCAGGACGTCATTCATATACCGCTGATAGGTTGCGGGACCGTTGTCAGTCCAAATGGCAGCACTTTGCACTTATAGGATCCATAGCGAGTCCGAAAGGTTGTGTACTCTTCCGAATCAGGGTGCATCCGTATACGATGGAAGGCTTGTCTGATATCTAGCTTCGTGAAGATTTTTGCTTTTGACACCCGTCCTAGTAGTTCGTCGATACGCGGGATGGGGTAGGGATCGTTCCGGGTGAGACCATTTAACTTCTGGTAATCGATGCAAAATCTTAATTTGCCATCCGCTTTCTTTACAAATAGGATAGGGGACGCGAAGGGGCTGTTGCTGTTGACGATGAATCCCTTTTCCAGGTTTTCCAGCAGGTATTGCTTGGTAGCCTTAAGCTCTTCGGTGCCCTG